TGTCTTTCAAATCTCAAATACATACACTGAAGTGACAAAAGTCATGGGATACCTGTTGGTCCTCCTTTTGCCCGGCGAAGTGCAGCAACTCGACGTGGCATGGACTCAACAAGTCGTTGGAAGTCCCCTGCAGGAATATTGAGCCATGCTGCCTCTAAAGAAGTTAATAAATGTTCCATGGGATTCATGTCGGGCGATCTAGGTGGCCAGATCATTCGCTGGAATTCTCCAGAAGAACACTCGAAGCCTACCATCAGCTCTTACCAACTGAAATCGTGACTCATCTGACCAAGCCACGGTTTTCCATTCGTTTAGGGACCAACCGATATGCTCACGAGCCCACGAAAGTCGCTGCAGGCGATGTCGCGCTGTCAGTAAAGGCACTCGGGTCAGTCTTCTGCTGGCACAGTCCAAGGAAGACAAATTTCGCCGCACTGTCCTATCGGACACGTCCCTTTCACGTCCCACATTGATTTCTGCAATTATTTAACGCAGTGTTGCTTGTCTGTGAACATTGACAACTGTACGCAGACGTCGCTGGTCTCGGTCGTTAAGTGCAGGTGGTCGGCCACTGCGCTGTCCATGGTGGGATGTTATGCCTGAAATTAGATACTCTCGGCACACTCTTGACACTGTGGATCTCGGAATGTTGAATTCCCTAACGATATCCGAAATGGAATGACCCATGAGTCTAGCTCCAACTACCATTCCGCGTTCAAAGTCTGTTAATTTTCGTCGTGCGGCCCATAATCACGTCAAAGGCTCTTCACATGAATAACTTGAACACAAATGAAAGCCCTGCCAAAGCACTTCGCATTTATACATTTTCTACGCGATACTACTGCCATCTGTATATTTGCATATTGCTATCCCATGACTTTTGTCACTTCACTGTATTTCACCTGCCGCTTTGTTTTATCCGGTGGGCTATAAGGGTTTCAATTAGGACTCCCGCTATTCAATATTTATGTGATCGGCATTCCATGCACACACAACGCCAAACTTGCAAAGTATATTAATAAAACAGCAATCATTGCTCAAAGTGTATTTCTTAGTATAACCTTCCAACATTTACTAAGTATTTACTAAATCACATACTGGCTAAACAACTGGAAAATCCAAATCAAAATCGACAAAATGGTCGTTATAGTATTTACAAAGAAAGAGAAAATTAATAATAATGTCAAATTTATTCAACTACTCGTCTCTAGGTTAAGCAAATCAATTATCTTGGGGTGTATGTCATGGACCCTACGCATTACATCTATTGTCCAGAAGTTTCGAGAAAGCTAAGCTAAACTCTGCGACTTAATTGTTTGAAATATCTTTCTCCCTATTGATAATAAGTTATTCATTTATAAATCCCTTCTACATCATAAGCTGTGTTATATCAGTCTAATCCAGGCTTATTTTTGGAAAACCAACAGAAAAATCAACAGCAAACTGCAAAGAACAGTGTATTGAGGTAAATAGCATATTCTTCCTGGTTTATCCATAACAACACAATACATAAAGCGCTAAAAATTTTCCAGCTAAGGACTTATCATCTGTCTTTCATGATAGCGACGAATCAACAAATCTGATATAAAAATCTGTAGTTACGATTTTAATAATTCAAATAATATCCAAAAGCCAATGGCCATTTTAAGTACCCAAATAATTGCATAAAATCTGTACATATATTTTGTATTAGGTTTATATAGAGTACTTTTATGAATTATCTGTATATTAAACATTGTATATATCTTATTACACATTATATATATCTTATTACACATTGTATATAGCTTATTGCACATTGTATATATCCTATTACACATTGTATATACACTATTTGATTTACACTTATAAGGTATTTCTCCTGCCTTTCTTAACATGCTTTCATAGTGTAGCGGTCAGCACACTCGGCGCGTATTCGAGAGGTCCGTGGCCCGAGTCCCGGCGAGGGCATTGCTTATTTTACATGTCTCCTGCTTCAAAAACGTCCACAAAGGCCGCAGTCCTAGTACCATGTAATATGTATTTTAAGTTAGTTTTAATTTTGAGTGATTATCAGTATATTCAAATTGGACTAACAGAAAATTTCTTAAAAAATATCTTCACAAAAAATGTCTTATGTTGGCAATCTGCGCATGCGATACGGAATTTTGAAGAAATTTTTGTGAGTTATAAAAAAAAAGTGGGCAAACTTACGGACATTATTCGGGGTTTGGATAATCGGCTTTAAACTCAAATTTCTATGTTGAATATAAAGTCCACTTGCCAAGAGTTTTTTAGTTTTAAATTTTTAACATTGTTAAACACTAATGTTAAGTTCAATCTAAAATCTTCTCAACAGTTTGCAACATTGTATAAAATAAGCTAGAATTCCGTTACTCAAAAGTATACAGATACTAGATGATTAAAAAATATCTGTCAAAAAAGTCCAGAGGACCAAGATAAGCAAATTTTGTAATAGAATGGGAACGCAGAAAGGACGCTCTGTGGTGGTACTGGACATTGCTTAATGATAGGTGAAAACGATCCGCTAGTGTTAATTATCATTTCCCGTGCGGAGTTTGAACGGTATCGCTAAACGAACGCAGAACTAGTTGACATGCATTTTATCTATCGGGCTGCGTACAGAAACTGAGAAGCAGCTCAAAAGGCGGTGTTTAGGAATTGTTCTCTGTTCTACCTCATTTGAATAGCTGCTCCATTTTTAGCCTCAATCTCTATATATAATAAAAGAAAGAGTCTCTGTGTGTGTTCCTTTCGTTTGCGCTGCGCGTAAGCTAATAGACACACAGCTACGAAATTTGGTAGTGCATCTAGACAAGAGCCAGTGCACCTGGAAGCGATTTTTTCGAAATTCGAATTCGAATTTTTTTTTTTAGTCCAAAGGGATTTGAATCCCGAAGGACTATTAGTTTCGTTTTGGCATTTTGCGTCGGACTCATAAATGTCGGTTCACTTTTCAAGCTGTTGCCACAAAATGTTAGAGTCCTGCATTATATTTGAAGAAATTAAATAATGAAAATCTGCGTAAATGTATGTATATTTCTCGCATTGTCATAAAATAACGGTACATAGAGTCATCGAATCTTGAATAACGTAATCCTCCAACGAATATGAGCATGTGGAAGACCAAATTTGAAATTTGAAATTTGTTTTATGATCGATTTCCTATTTTTTAAAACTTTGACGAATTTTTGATTAACAAACTCAAGGATTTCAAAGCGAGCAATGGCAACGTTGTGCAGAAAAAACATTTTATCTCCAGCGCGTGAGTCTCTGTATCGGAAATTCTAAAGATATGCTCGTTTTAAAACTATTTTGCGATATTGCTGTTGCACTGGATCTTATGGTTTAAGTGCGAGGAACATGATATTTAATAAAGAAAGGTAACACACAAAATGTTAAAAAACGCCCCTTTGGACGTAATTTAAAATCTGAAAAATTTCAGATTTTTTTATTTTTTAATTTTATGTTTTGTGACGAAATCGCGTCATTTTGACACATAATGGGCTATAGCAAAGCGAGATTTTACTCTACACACTCCATTTTCACATCGTCAGGAAGTGTAGGCACTTAGCTATTTTACGAACTTAAAATAAATTTCGTGTTTCAATAAATCGATTGAATTCGAATTTATTTAACAAAGTGAACTTAACACCTTTTCAACGGGATTTTTTCTAAAAAAGTTTATTTTTAAAAATGTACAGTTTATTTTTCTTTGATTTTTGGACACGTTAAACTTTCATCCTTGCGACCGCTTTTACAAAAAGAATTTTGGAAAAATGAATTTTGTATTTTTAAAAAAAAATTTAAATGAAGCGTCTGAGTGCACTTCTCACATCTCACATCTTTAAAAATGTGATTTTGACAACCATTTTCCTTTCTTATTGTTGTTGATAGATTTTTGATGAAATGGCATCATTTTGAATAGTATCATTCTTTTAGAAATATGGGTTTGGCAACCATTTTTCATCGTATTTCTTATGTCACTGTTTTTAAGAGATTGACATATTTCATTGTCATTTTTTTATATATATAATACAATTTTATTGATTTTTTTTTATAAAGTTCTTCTGCAGAGTAAAATTCTGCGCGAAATTTTTTGTTTTTTGAGTTTCCTTCATGTTTTTTTTTTTTTTTTTTTTTTTTTTTGCTTATTTCAGTAGTTGTAAGATACTCAAAAGTTTTGCATGATTTTTTTTCTTCAACGGAAAGTTGGTTAATTTTTTTAGTAGGATAATTAATATTTGTATTAAGGGATATAGCTTATTTCATTGTCATTTTTTTCTCTTCAAAATATAAGATAAAATATCATTAATTATACTTTGCTTTTCAGAATTTTTTGTTTTTTGTTGCTCATTTCACTGTTTTTAAGATATTGAAAAGTTTTGAGTGATTTTTTTAGGAAACAAAGTTCTTAACCTCCTTTATACCATTTGAGTTCTTAAGATTTTGCAAAGGGAAGTTGATTAATTTATTTATTACGATAATTTATATTTGTATTAAGGGATATTGCTTATTTCATTATAATTTTGTTATACGTAATAACTTTTTTTATGAAGTTGTTCTTCAGAGTAAAATTCTACGCGGTTTTTAAATTTAACGTTTGGTGTTCCCTTCAGCCTTTTCCCCGGTACATTTAAAAGCCAGACGAAGGCTGGCAGCGAAGCTGCTAGTTTATAGATAAAGTACAGTCCAGGGACTCCTGTTTTCCTGTTTGTCCAGGGACTCCTGTTTTACATTCCTGCCACATATTTATTTTTGAATCACCCGGTATACATGCAAAATCTGAAGTCATAAAATACAAAGTTCAAAATATAACTATCTGAATATATACAATAAATATTTGCAAATAATATTGAAAAATAACTTCATGCTTGGCTGAAGATTTTTATTTCAATATTAATTATTTGTATAAATTCACAATTTAATTTTTAAAATGAAACAAAAACGATTTGATCACTTATTAGTTTAATAAAATACTTATTTCTTCTCATTTTTACCTTCATGTAATTTGAAGCTATGTCAACTGAACCGATGATTCCTAAGAGTGGAAATAGGAAGATAGGCATTAAGGCTGTTACAGTCATAGGAACCGGCTCCAGCAACCAGTAACCAACAACTAGTAGTATCCCATAAGCACATTTCAATTCCTGAAATAATTTATTTAATTACATCTAAACTAATTAATTTATTAGAAATAGTGTTCCTTTTTTAATGTATATGTCTGAAATTATTTAGAAGGGAATTGTACGTTATGAACTGTACTGAAATCATATGTTAATACACTGCTGGTCATTAAAATTGCCGTGCCACGAAGGAAAGGAAATACAAAAAAAGATATTTATTGCACGTGAACATTACAGAATGAAGACAAAATGATTAAATTTGTAAGCATTCTGGAGGTTTACAGGGGTGCGAAATTAGTAGAAACAGCTGCCATCCCTGGAAGCTAAAACGGCCCTTACCCCATTAGGCATGGAGTTCAACTGGGCTTGGATGACAGAGATGGGCGACTCATTCCGTGCTGTTTTAAGTCTATGTCACACTTCATCAGCCGGGGGTGTCGGGCCAGCCTCGCAGAAAGCCAGCCATGACGAAATGTTTCAATGGATGCCACATCTGGAGACCGTCAGACCAGAGCAGCAATCGAATACCCTGTGTATCGAGGAAGGTCAGAACAAGACGTGCAGCCTGTTGTCTTGCATTTTCTTTTTGTAACAGAGCGTTTGGGGACCTCAAAGTTAGGGCACAACCACTGGACATTAGATATCAGAAATGTACCCATCTGTGTTCTAATTACCGTCGATCCGAACTAGAGGTGTGCGTGTCGTGTACCCAATGGCTGCCCAAACCACCACACCAGGTGCAGGGCCCCTATGCCTATATCGGATGCAAGCAGGCGACGTGCGGTCTGTCGTATGTATACGGCTATCAGAATACTGCACGTAGAACCAGGGCTCGTCTGAAAAGCGACATTGTGCCACTCCTGTATCCAGCTTTGTCGTTTTGCTCACCATAGTTGCCATCTGTCTCTATTCTGCCTTGTCAAAGGAAACCGAAGTATTAATTACCATGCTGATAGTCCACGCTATTGTAAACGTCGACGCACCTTACGAGCTGATACTGGATGCGATGATTGATTTTGAAAGGTTCTTTAGTTTGCTATCATCCGTGGTTGTAATCCAATAACGGGACTTTTTCCTCACACATTATTTTATATATATATATATTATATATATATATATATATATATATATAAGAGGTATTAAGTAGATTAGAAAATATTTACATAAGATTAACGTTAATTAAAGTCAGTTGGAGAGTATACGCGTGCAGATTATCGCGCAGTCCTAATAAGACATACGGTGAGTGCACACCTGCGATAATCGTGAAGTCACATCCGATACTGTCCAAACTCTAATTAACTCTCCCCTGCGGCAATCAGTCGCCAGAGGGAGTTGCACAAACTTTTCCCCTCGAATACCAGGGGGAGGCAGGTATCAGACATTACACTGGGCGTGCTGCAAACATGCCCATTTCCTGAATGCTGGTCCGTGATGTGGTCGCACGGTTTTGCACGGATGACCCCACACTATGTCTGTCCTCTCAGGCGTTAATCTTGGCAGGACGTTGATATAATGCGTGCCGTTCAGTATGATCCTCAGCAATCCATTGAATTCCATATTCGCATGGCAGTAGTTGGATGTCGACCAGGGCGACGGGCGATATCGCAGAACGATAATCTACACCCTCGCTAGGCAACGATCCTGCCTCTATCGAATTCCGACACTTGCTGGTAAGCATTTCGTCTTCTTATTCGAGGCATAGCACGATATTCTGAGCAAACTCCAGCCTTACAAATCACTTTCCGAATGAAACATCGACTACACAACTTTTCTTTTAAGCAGTGTTTCAGATACCGTTTCTCCCACCTGCGTAGTCTAAATGCGCTGAAATACCAATCATTTGGATATCCTAACCTCTTCTTCCTTTCATGTGATTTTGACGTTCGTCAGATCATTTCTTCCCTGTGTTGCAATTTAATGACCAGCATTGTAAAGTGCTAAGTAAGTAATGAATAGACTCGACAAGCAAGCGTTATGATATTTCCCTTTTTTAAATTAGCTCAACATGTTGTATATTCAATTCTTACTTTCATGAAGCAGTTTCTCTCTATTATAAATCCATCATTTAAATTTAAATGAAAAATCAGTAAATTTCTATAAATTTCCGTTTGAACCCATTGTATGTAGAACTAAATACAGTCATTTGTTTTTGCGTATAACTTATTATTCGATTCTGAGATAGTCACGATATTACACAGCGCAAATTTTGATTATGCGGAGATTCATCACTCGAACTGGCTATGTTGCCTCAAGAGTGAAGAATACAGATTTTTAATGTTAAAAATATGTAGATCAAAGTACAAAAATCAAACACAGTTTTATGTTTCGCATGTTATTAGATACCGAAAAAAAAAAACTAAGAAATGTAAAAAAAGAAAAGACTTACTTGCCTTGTCAGGAGAAGCAACCAAAGGAGCTAAAATGAAGGGTAAGAGAAAACTGATGACATAAGTACAGAGTTTCCAGTTAATGGAATTAAGAAAACGGCGACAGACTTTTGTCATCTCAAAGCACTATAATCTAAGTTTTGATATGAATTGAAAACTCTCAGAGGCAGCTATTTCCTCGCGCCAATGTTAACTCGTTAAGCTTTGGTAGTGCTAAATGAGTTAAAGAGGGCGCGAGGATATTGTCGGTGAAATTTCGCGAGTCAAATCAATAGATTTATTATTATCCAGAGCATTTTTTACCCTCTTGATATGTTTCTGGTGTTGCCTAAGGAATAGTAATAAAAGTTCAGAATATGCTGCATAAGCAAAAGTACGAAGGTGGAGCTTACTGATGTCATAGATAGGTGGGACTACGCTTGTGACGTCACAATATAGTCTCGCATTTACGCTATAAATATTTACTATTTTCTGCTGAAAATAATAATAATAATTTTTTATTGTTGCAAATTAACATTACTTTTCATATTTTAAATTCACATTCCTAACAGTTCAGCTTGAGTTTCACAAAAAATAAATATAATGAATTGTTTATATTTAAAATTAACATGATAGAGTAATTCAGTTGCATAAATTATTAAAACGGTAATCAACACCGTAGTCTCTCCTACTTTTATTTCATGTAATTTTCGATATTTTTTAAGTTTCAGCATTTATACAAATAAAAGAAAACATTTTAATTTAACTTCCTATTACTGAACACTTTTAATTTGTCGTTTTCACAAATCACTTTATTGCTATATGACACCACAATTCATTACATACTTGTTTGTAGACAACCTTTATTATTATTGTTTCTTTCATTTTAAACTTTAGCCTTAAGGAAAAAAAAGGAAAAATATTTTTAGCTCAAATCAATATCATACATAGCTTTCATGTCATTGTTTCTTAAATTCCTAAATAAGGTCATATTCCAATAGAAAAAAATTATATATATCAAAAAAAAAAAAAAAACTGAATGCTTTCAGATTTTATATTACGCCCAAAGGCCTGTTTTTAACTTTTTGTGTGTTAACTTATTAAATATCATGTTCTTCGCACTTAAACCATAAAATTCTATTCAACAGCAATATCATAAAATATTTAAAAGAGCACATCTTTAGAATTTCCGATACACAGTTCTGCGCGCTGGAGATAAAAAGGGTTCATCCGCCCCCGTAGAGTGTTGCCATTCCTCGCTTTGACATCTTTGAGGATGTTAATCAAAAATTCGTTAAAGGTTTACAAAGTATGAAATCGATAATAAAACAAATTCCAAATTTGGGCTTCCAGATACCCATATTCGCAAGTGGATTACGTCATTCAAAATTCGGTGGCTCTAGGTACGTTGATTTATCACAATGCGACAAACATACATATATTTATCGAAATTATTTTTCTCGGTTTCACAGTAGAAGGTGCTAGCACCAGGGTACCTGGGCCGAAGGCCCTACCTAATGCTTAGCCCTACCCCTTAATAGGAGCCTTAGCCCTATCCCTTATCAAACAATTCGGGTAATTTTTAATTTTGCGAGCCACAAAGTGAAAAGTATAACATAAACAATGATAAAAATTTTGAAGTCGGGAGTATGGCTAGAAATTTAGAATAAACATAAAGTAAGCGTGAAACCAGTCGGAAGTTGAGAATGCCGAAGCATCTGGAAAATTATTGGAGCTGGTGACTTGAAATGCTGTAAGAGAGTTTCTTAATATATAAGAGATAATGGCAGTGCCAAAGCATTCGGTGAGATACAAAATTACGAATTAAGTTAGTTAAGCAAATACTATAGATAAAGACACTGGTAATATAACTGCACTTTTAAAATGGGAAATAAAATTCCTGAAATAAGTGGGGAGAGAATCATAAGCTATGGCAATATACAAGAATGAAGAACCAGTAACAACCGAGAATATAATGGGTTATTTGTCAAGATACATACATAATAATGCTAACAAGATATAGAATAATTTTTTTAAAGCTTATATAAAAAATATTATACACTGACATTACTTTGCATAAATATTTCTTCAAATAGGTTAAATAATAGGAAACGTTTGTGGATTGGGTTTTCCGTTGATTGAATCTCTGGCATTTTGAAGGAAATTTTCATAATTATATTAGTTAGTGAAACTTGAACAGATTACTTATTTCTTTAAGAAGTTTGAAAACTTCACCCAAGGAACTTAGGCTAAAGTTGTTGCTATTATTTTTGTTTGCATCAGATTTACTTGGATTTAATGAATGTCTGTTAGCCTTGCTGCCGTTTTGGGTACAAAATTGTCGAGTTGAATAGCAACTAAAATTTCTTCTCCTCTATCAGCTGCTTCTAGAACCCACCTAACAGTCCCCCCCTCCGCCTATTTCTCCTAGCTACTCCGAGTGGGTGAGGGTTCACTGAACTTTCGCTAGCTCTTTTCATCCGGACTGCTTGTTCTTAGGATTTTTATTTTATTGTTGATATCAAGAATCAAGGAAACATTTTGCCCCTTTTAATTCTATTCCAATTTTTATGAATGATGACTGCCCTCCAAATTGAATTCTGGCTTTTTTTAGACACGAAATTTAAATAAAAAGACCTTCTATGATTTTTTACCTTTTTTGTCTTGCAGAAGGCATTATCTGAAAAGCTTTTATTTTCATAAATTAGCCTTCTAAAATTTTCCCGTATTAGATAAACCCTCTTTAGATGTAATTATTTTATCTCTGATGATGTGAGTTAAAGGCCTAGCCTAACGCACTCCGTAAATTAACTTCCTTTTGATTTTTCGCCTTGCGGGCAGAAAGACTTAGTGGCTGCAAAAGTAAGACATCTGTGTACATTGTCTGTGTGTCTACATCTGCAAATGTAATAAATTCAAAATGAAGTTGTTGCATAAGTATGTAGAAAAAGATGGTAGTGGGTAAGTATTTTTCATAAACTTATTCAAATTAGTAACATAACGACGGTAAAATAAACATTACGCATTCCTGAGCACTTATTTGGATTTTTATAGCCTTTCGAGAGATGTATAAATACCGTGTACTTTACACACACACATACAGTGTCTCACAAAAGTGATGGGACACTTGTGCTTTACGAAAGGAAACTGTAGTAAAATAAATTAAGAAAACATGTAAAAAATTTTGTGGGTGTGTTTCATACTTAAATTTAGTAACAATTATTACATAACATACATCTTCTCAAAATATTGAAATAGTAATTTAATAAAAATACAATTGTTTAGAACGGAGAAAAAAATGGCTCACATAAGTGATGGGACACTTACTTTTCCATGAAATATTTATCCAAAAATTTTACTTCTTAAAATGTTTTAATATTTTGTTGTATTTCCTTTTACTTTTAAAACGTGATTTAATCTTCTTGGGATGGATTCGAGTAATTTTTTTGTGATTTCTAGAGTGATTTTACCCCATTCTTCTTGAAGCAATGATTTTAATTGTTGTTTTTGAAGAAATAGTGTGTTTGCGAATTCATGATTCCAATTTCTGCCCAAATATTCTCTATGGGATTTAAGTTGGAGATTGTGGTGGTGTTTTTTATTATTTCAGGACAGTTATACAGCAGCCAGAGTCTAATTTTAAAGCAGTGTGCTTAGGGTCATTGTCCTGGTAGAATTTAAAATCGTTATGAAGGATCAATTTTCGTGCTAAAGATTTCAAATTTTGATTTAAAATGTCAATATACTTGTACTGATCCATTATACTGTCAATAAAAACAAGATTACCAACTCCAGCGGACAACATACACCTTCATACCATAACTCCTCCTCCACCATGTTTTACTGTTGGCACCAAGTTCTGTTTGCAAAATTCTTTCCCGGGTTTTCTCTACACCAAGATTCTACCGTCAGAACCAAATATATTAAATTTATGGCTGATCTTTGGAATATGGTAACTGGTAGTTTGGCGACATTTTGGAGGCGATAAAGGTTACTACCTAGGACTTTGGAAATAATGTGAGCAGTACTCACTTCCGATTACGCATTATTTTGTGTGAAGGAAATGAGAGATCATGAGATATGTCATGTGATATTAATGGACGAATTATAGTTCTTTAATCGGAAAAGCGGGGAAATTTGGAAAAATATCTGTGGCAGTATATTATTTTGTATTAAGCTTCATTGTGTTGTGTGCAGTAGTGTTGATTAATTTTCGGATTGTATGGCACTGTCTAAAGTGAATTCTAGATTTTTAATGCGTTTATGTGATAATTCAAAAGAATTGGTTGAATGGTGCATGAGTGTAGGTTTAATTGCAGATAAGTATGAATAACCAAAATGTGGGAATGAAATGAGATTGTGTGAAAGGAAGGATATTACTGATAAGTTTGAATGGTGGTGCAAGAAATCTGGTGAAAATGGACATTTTGTGAAATGGAGTGTAAGGAAGGGTACGTGGTTTGCTGAAAGTCGTTTGAGCATGGGTGAAATTTTATTGATTTCTTATTATTGGGTGAATAGATTGCCAGTTGACTATTGGATTTCGGATTTAGAATTTAGCAGTAGTACTGCAGCTGATTGGAATTCTTTTTGTAGGGAAGTGTGCATGGAATTTTGCGAAAATGATATGGGTATGCTCTGTGGTATGAATGTAATTGTGGAAATTGATGAGAGTAAGTTTGGGAAGCGGAAGTATCAGAGAGGTAGGAGAGTGGAAGAAAAATGGGTGTTTGGTGGGATTGAAAGGGGTAGTAATAAGTGTTTTTTTAAGGTTGTGCAAGATAGAAGTAAAGATTGTTTATTAAATTTTATTAAAGAATATATTCTACCGGGTACTATAATTATTTCTGATTGCTAGAAATCGTATGAATGTTTGGAAGATGAAGGTTTTAAACATCTTGCTGTGAACCATAAATATTATTTTAAAGATTCGGAAACAGGTGCACATACCAATACAATTTAGCCGGAATAAATATTTTTGTGCCAAGAAACAGTATACTAATGTTGTTTAGCTTTAGTAAATAATTTAAATGGGGCCTTTAATACTTTATTTTCCATTTTTAATAATTAAAATTTCACTTGCATAAATTTCAATAATAGTTATTTAATAAATTAGAAACTGAATTTATGTTGCTGTTCTAGTTTTCAACCCTTCAACTGTGTGACCTTTCACTCATGTCTCTCTTCAGGCTTCACCTTTGCAATCATAGTTATTTACACAATACTGTGTTTAATGAATGAAGAAAAGTGTCTTTCATATTAGTGCATCAATCAAGGGATTAAATTTTGAGTTTGCGTATTTTTAGTAAAATACTTTGGTTAGAGTAGAGATTGCCCCTTGAATACTACTCCTTGTATTATCCTGAATTTGTTGTTTCATTTATCTCCAAGAATGCGTAATGCCTAGCTTGTGCAATTCTCTGATGTGTTTTTAAGTAAAAATAGATGGATGTGTACATGGATAAAATGAAGAGAGTGGGTTAATCTTCGGATTATGGTAACTTGGCGATTTTTTGACAAAAAGTTGGTGACCAACACTGCTACAGCAACCTGCTAGTTTTTTTTTTTTTTTTGGACGCCATTTTGTTTTCATGAAGTAAAGGCATGTTTTTTTTTTAACTCAACATTTTTTTTCAACAATCTGCTAGCCGAATTACGCTTATGCTAGAACTTTTATGGAACAAAAGTACTTAATCATGATGAACATTAGGTGCGAAATTGGGAGAAAGTGCAGAATCGCCCACTGCTTGCCGCGTTTTCAAGAATTGCACATACACGGTATCCATGTACACGTCGACCTATTTTCACTTAAAAAAAATCCCAGATTTGCACAAAAAAATCGGAGTTTGTGCAATTCTCCGATTTTTTAAGTGAAAATAGGTCGATGTGCACATGGATACCGAGTTTGTGCATTTCTTTGTCTTGTTATTTTGGCTTGGCTCAAGAATCACCGCTATACAAGCCAAAATAACAGGTCAAAGAATTGCACAAAAATTTTATCTATCTATTTTTAAGAAGTATATGTTAAGCTTACTTTCCTTATTAAGAAACATTCTTCACTTATGCAAATAAATCTTTATTTGTGCATCACTTACATATCACTGAGACGATACAACTAAAAATACAAAATTACTATGCGCACTTCATAAATATTACCGTTCAAACCGGCTTCCATCAAAATACTCTCACGTTGCCACTCGGGGAAAATATATTTAAAATAAAATCAATGCGTTGCATTTGCATTCAGGCATCCTGACTGAGTTATGACCTCGGAACATTAAGAACTTATACTGAAAATAATTAAATCTATAATATTAAAATGTGCAGTTCGAAAGCCTTTAACTGTCATATAGATTCACTGTCCTTTTCTATTCTTTTTCCATGTCCTTGTTTTAGGTATATGTGGTGTGTTGTTATCATTATCAGCAACACTAATATCATCACCAGCATCATCGTCCTCCTCTGATTCAGCTTGACCCTGCCATGATTTCAATTGGCTCACATGAGCTGTCATTATAAAGAAACATCTTTTCACCTTCTCTTCTAATTTTGTTACTTTATAGGTATCCCTTCGTTAAACTTCTGTAATTACCAAAGGTCCTCAATATTGTGATTGTGTTTTGGTTGATTTTTGCAGTTGATTTAGGTACTCTTCTCATAACTACTATTTCTCCTCCTTCAAATGTTAAAAAAATGCTTTTCTTCTTGTTATAATTTGCTTTAATTTTCATCTGCATATCTTCAGTTCTCTTTCTAGCTTCATTCTGTAAGAGTACTGGATTCTCCCATTCATTTGCGTCTTCATCTCTAATCATCCTCATAAATCCGTCGTTAAATTTTTGTGAATAACTGTGAAGCATTTCAAAAGGAGTTTTATTTGTAGTCTTATTTATCATATTGTTTAGATTTATTTTTCCTTCCTTAATCTTTTTGTCCCAGTCCCTACGTTTCGGATTTTCTATATTCATTTTAATCATAGCCAAAATTGTTCGATTTGCTCTTTCCACTATTCCATTACCACTTGCATGTTGAGTTGAATTGAGCATATGACTGATTCCATTATTTTCACAGTACTCTCAAAATTCCTTTGCTGTGAAACATGTTTCTCTATCGCTGATAATTTTTTCTGGTAACCCCAAATCATCTACAAAACTCTTCAATGCAACTAACACATACTTGATTGCAGTATGTTTCATAGGATATAAGTGTGTAAATCTTGTAAAATTATCAATTATTACAAATAATTCTGTATTTTGTCTTGAACTTTTTACAAAAGATCCTAAATGATCTATATGTATGATTGCAAAAGGTCTTCTCTTAGGTCTAATTGAATGCAGTACTCCTTGTTTCTTCCCACTAGGCACTTTATTTACTAGGCATTCGAAACACATCAAAATGTGGCACATAACATATCACTTCATTCATTAAACCAGTATGACTTCTTGATTTTGGCTACAGTTCTATCTACTGAAAAATGCCCTAAAAGAATGGGAAATTTTACTACAATACCTTTTCTCATCGACTTAGGTATGACATATAACAATTTCTCCTTTTCCCAATCTTTTACTTTATAAAACAATCGATTATTCTTCAAGGCATAATTTTCAGTTACATATTTCTTTGCATTCATACTATCATTTATCCTTTTCTTTAAAATGTCTATTAATTTCCGTAATTCTGGATTTGAATGCTGAATAATAAGAATCTGTTTATCTATCATTAGTGTTAAACAAACTTCCAAGTTATTCTCAGTTATAGAGTCTAAAATTTCTTCTGGTTGATCAACTGGTGATTAGCTCAAAGCATCTACGTGACTTTTTTTTAACCTCGTCTGTGCCATATTTCAAGACTGTGTTCCTGAATCAGATTACTCTACCTTGCTATCTGAGGATTTGGAGTTTTCTTCATGTTTAAATAAACTAAAGCTTGGCAGTCCGTAACCATCATAAATCGGATTATAATAAAAAATTGTTGAAGTTGGGTCAAAGTCCAAAGTATAGCCATTGGTTCATTAGTTAAATGGTCTTTTAAAGTACTGAATGCTTCTTGCTAATCCTCATTCCAATGAAATGTTTCATCCTTCCTTTCGTCAGTCTCATTAACGGCTCAGCTTTCTCTGCATATTTTGAAACAAACCTTCTAAAGAAACTTGTAAGACCTAAAAATTGTTTAACTTCATGTTCATTGGTTGGTTTAGAAAAGTTTAATATGACTCGTACTTTTCTTAGTCCAGGTTGCATACCATTCAATTTTATTAGAAATCCCAAATACTCAACTTCATCTTTTCCAAATTCGCATTTTGTTAGTTTCAATGTCAACTTTGCTTCTCTCAATCTATCAAACACTTTTCTAAGTTTTTCCACATTTCTTTCCAAGTTTTAGCCGGAATTAATATGTCGTCCAAACAGCATAATACTTCTAACCCAAGGCTTCTGAAACTTTTTCCAGTCACGACCCCTTTTTATCACTGAGATTTTTTCAGTGCAACCCCAGGACCCCATAATATTTATGAACATTTTGTGGGACCAAGCATTGCACAAATTTGGCACATGCGTGAGTGAAACTGTCACTTTTTTCACTTGTACTGTAATAAACTATTGCATTTTTAGGTCATTAATTTTAAGACACAGAATAATGTAAAAATTTTAAATAAGTAACAGACGAAATGACAGTATCATGTACAAAGCAAGTAAAATGAATGTTTATATTATAAAAAGAATGCGTTGAAATGTTTTCATTTATTTCTTTGCCTGTATTGTCTTATCTTTATCTATTTTCAGATACACATTTGGTAATTGTAAAATTATTGTAATAAGTTGAAGAAATAGCAAAACTGCAAGACTCAGAGTTTAAGAAACTCCGAGCTAACCCGAAGATCATACGTTCAAATTGACCAGTATCATCTGGAGTGATGAAATCTGTTTTCAGTTTTGCTTCTTCAGTTAAAGGAATCTGTAAATATCCATGAGCTAAGTCCAATGTAGTGAAAATTTTACACTCACTAAGACATTCAAGATCATCTACCCTAGGGAGTGTGAATTTATCTCTAATAGTTTGCAAATTCAACTTTCTATAATCTACCAATAATCATACTTCACCTGTCTTGTTATGTATTAGTAAAACTAGACTAGCATACAGAGATCTTGTTTCAGTAACAATTCCATATATTTCTTCCATTCATTAATTATGTTCTTTATAGAAGCACACTCCTCGGCATTGGTTTTATACGACTTCATGCAAATAGGCTTACTCCCTTCAGTTTCTTTAATATCCATTTCTGTTAAGTTTGTACACCCAAATTCCTCCATATTTAATGTAAAACAATCTCGATACTCATTTATCAAATCCAAAACTTCCTGTTTTCTCTCTGGCATAATATTGTTATTGATTTTAATTTCTTCTAAAGTAATCAGTCTCTTCAACTTTTTAATTTAATTTATTATCATTATTTCCTTTTGATTTGAATTTTCAATTTTCTGATCTGGATTTGATTCAACTAATTCTGCTACTTCCGCTCTACAGATACACTGATTCTCTTTCAAAATTAATTTTCGATCGCTATAGTTAGTGACTAGTATCACTGTTTCTCCCTGTATTACTTCTAATAATGGCCCCAACTCATCTTCTGATCCACTTATTAAAACATAACCGTTATTTATTTCATCAGTTTTAACTTTCACAAAATAAACTGTATTACTTTCGATTTCAGTTTCCTGGCAAGCTTTCAGTTTAATTCGTAGAGTGTTGATGTAATTTTGCAACTGTGAAAATGGACAAACATTAGAATAGCATATGTGCAAGGTATTACGTATCTTGGCATATGCAATATGTAGTAAATAATTCCATGTTCGACCAACTAATAAGTCGCATGGTTGCTTTTCATCTCCTACAATTAAAACTGTAATGTTCTTTTCTTCCACATTATCAATCTCTTAACAGTTACTTTTCCCAGTGTTCTAGCAGCTGGTTTACTCTGGTTTCCAAAGCCAAACAATTCCTCCACATCAGGTTTTCTAATAAGATTCAGTTTCCTAGCCACAGAATGTTTCAGTAAACACGAACTAGAACCCATATCTATGATATCAGTAATTTGTTGTTCATTATTGATTCGAGCATATTTTAAATATATAGTTGGTGAAACACCTGAATTCTGGTTCATGGATAAATTATTTTTAACATTTGTTAAGTCTTAACTCTTAAACATACACTTTTTAAAAATATGACCTTTTTCATTATATTTCCTGCAAATAATTTCTTTTTTTTAGGTTGAGGACAATCCATTGCTGTATGTCTGTAATCATTACACTTGAAGCATTTCGGCTCGCCCTTTTATTGCAGATACCAGAATTATATTCCCTTTTCCTTTTGTCTATTTTGTAAAATTTATCTCTCAAACTGTATTTATTATCAAAATTGTTTTTAAAATCCACTTTGAAATTACTGTCTGCATAGAATCGTTAACACATCTTGGTCTTGAATACCGATTATAGGATCCCTCATAAAATTTAGAATGAAATTTAGGTTTAGGATTACACCTAAAAGTTTTTTTTTCTACTTGAAGTACTTTCATCCCTGCCTGAATATTTTCATATTCATCTAGTTTTTCAGCCAACTCTTCGGGATTAATGAATTTAGACAAGTCATCAATGAAATTATCTCGTAATAGTAGTGGGGACCCTTTTCTTTAATTGATCCTCAATAATAAGTTGTTTTAAAACCATGCAAATAAGTTGCATGGTTGTGTTTCATCTCTTACAATTAGAACTGTAATGTGCTTTCTTTCCACATTATCAAGCTCTAAATTAATAGTAACTTTCTCCAGTGTTGTAATGGCTGGTTTACTCTGGTTTCCAAAGCCAAACAAATCTGTTACATTTAATCCAGGAAGCCACTTTTCAAAATAATTTTTTAATTCAAACGTGAAGTCCCTCCACGTATTATGCAACATATTAATATGATCAACAAACTTTTGCCAAAACTGTTCAGGGCTTAACTTAAATTTTCTCAATAGCAGTTGTTTAACATGCTTATAGTTGTTAGCTTTTTCTTCTGATTCATGGGTAATTAATTGAGTCATTTCATAAGGCAATAGACCCAACAGCTGAGAAACCCAATTTTGTTCTTCTAACTCAATAGGTCGTACCTTCTCTCAAATAAGACTAAATGAAAACTTATATCACCTGTATTCAAGTGATACTTATGCATTAATTTACTCATATCACAGAAATTACTTTTACTAACATTAGAAGGAACAGAATCATTTACATTACTACTTCTGATTTCCGCTTCTATTTTCAACTTTTCAAGTTCAAATGTTCTTTGATTATCTTTTTCTAAAATCTCTAACTTTTCCCTGTCTAAATGATCATTTATAATTCTATCTAGTATTTGTTTAGTAAATTCTTCGTTATCGTTCTTACTATACAAAATCATATCCCTTAAGCCTACAATTTTAATATCAGAAGAGATATCTACATTATGTTCCAAGGCAAGTTCTTTTAAATCATAGTTCTTGCCCTTTGCCAAATCAGCCATCTTAGACTTCAATTTTCAAATAATAATGCAATAATTTTACTTGGTTCTTTCCGTTTAATACTTAGACATAATATAAACAATTTATAAATGCCACTACCTTTCTACTTTCAGTTTTGGCGAGCTTCCACATTCAATTTAGGCCTAAGGTACATTAAGGCAATACATTGTTAAATCCTTGGTAATAATTCTTGTTAATCCCACTTCTGAATTGTTAGCTTACTTTCCTCATTAAGAAACATTCTTCAGGTATGCAAATAAACCTTTATTCGAACATTAATATATATCACCGAGACGATACAACTAAAAATACAAAATTACTATGAGCACTTCACAGATATTACCGTTCAAATCAACTTCCATCAAAATACTCTCTCGTTGCCACTTGGGGAAAATATATTTAAAATAAAATCAGTGTATTACGTTTACATATATTTTACAGATAATCCTTTCTTATTAGCAGGGACTGTAATAAATACTGGTGATTTTAATTTCTGTGCAGTATATAAATACATTTAAGAAAAAAGCATGATCATTTTTTTTTTTTTTTTTCTATTATACAATGACACAGTGGGCAGCTTACTGATCAAAGTTCCAAGGAAAGCTGTTTTTATCTACTACTTATGGTTGTTCAGGTTCTTTAATTCTCTTCAAATTGCTGCCATAAATCTGTGGCTTAAGGTCATGTTTGTTGTTAGTTATATTCCATTGATGTTTAATCATTTTTGATATTTTAAGAATATGAAGGCTAGACTTGCAGAATAGAATTATTTTATGCAGTAGTTTTAGATGCAAGACATTTTAATATTAGATTAGTGTTAAGTGCAGTGTGCGTATTTAAAGTCATGAGGAAGCTTTTCTTAATATTAATGATCTTGCATTTTCACATAAATGGTGAATATCGTTCAGTCTGTGGTGATATTTTAAATATTCACACTATATTGAGGGAAACCAACGAGAATTACAGCTAGTCTGTAATTAAAAACTATAATGCTGGTTAATTTATCACGAAAGAACGACTTAAAAAATGGTTCTTTCTTTCACCATTTAAAAAAAAATGGTTCTAGCCTCATTTAAATTGAGTTTGATTAATAAGTCATGGGCAATAAAGATATCTTTTTAATTATATCATTTATTTTAATTATATTATTAAGTCTATGTAATTCTTTTTTAATTAGGTCTGTGACCCTTTTGCCAGAAGAGTCAGAAGATATGTGGCATGCATATAATCTCATTGCAGAAGGTGACACGTTAAAAAGTACTACTATTAGGTAAGTAGGTTTTCCAGATATTGTATTATTATAATAAACACTGTGGATAAGAACAATGGCCACATGCATATGTTCATGTGTATGCTAACATCTCTAATATGTTTTGGTAGCACACAGAGGATAAGAAACTCAGGAACTACTCTGATATGCGCCCTCAAGTCGCCAAATTTCTCGCCAAACATTTTTGGCAAGAAACTCCGCGCTGCCATATTACTATCTAAATTTTTTGTCTACATTTCGAACTTTCAGCTTAAAATGTCTCCAAAAACGTGGTTTTCGCACATGAAAAAAACCACATTTTAAACACACAATTTAAGCTAAAAATCCAAAACAAAAACAAAAAATTTAGATAGCAAAATCATAAAGTTTCTAACCAAAAATATTTGACAGGAATCCATGTACACAGCGATATGTTTTAACTTAAAAAAAAACATTCAAGAATGGCACAATCTAGGCAACGAACGAATCTATGAACTACGCACACCTTGCTTTAATAAATTAACATAACAACAGTAAATTTCGAAGACTACCATGTGCACAGCATCCTGTTTAAACTTAAAATAATCTACGAATTGCATAATCTAGACAACAAACGAATCTACGAACTATTCACACCTCTGTTTAATAAATCAACATAACAATAAATTTCAAAGAAAACCATGTACACAGCATTCAGTTTCAACTTTAAAACACATCTACGAATTGCACAGTCTAGATGCTACGCGCACTAATCAACAAAATAAACTAAAATAACTAAAATAAATTTCAAACAATTCAAGAAAACAACAATAACGACAGGAATTCATACTAAAAAAACGATGAACATAACATTCTACAAAATAAGAACAAGAATAATGCACTTACCATGCATTAATGCTTTTTCAAACAGCAGAAATACCAATCTCATACCGCTTTTAACATGCCGCCACGTAATCACTATCGTATTTATATGACAGCCAGACACACTATCCAGAAAATACATACTATGGTTCACAAATAAATAAAATCACAAATCCCTACTTCTATCATGTACAGCCACTAAAAATAATCTCCCAGATCCTCTTTCCACACCTCCAGATACCCACTGCCCCTCAACAGGACGGCCACGATGATATTTCCTTTTGCCGAACTTCAATTCAACAACTTCCACCATTTTATCTTCTCACACACAGAGCATGGCGCGAACCAATAAGCTCCAGCGAAAGATTTTTCAACGTCAACAGGGTTGCATACAACACGCAATCGCGCCAAAATCCAGCGCAGAACACATATCATTGCATTTGGTGAAATTAGGGCGTATATCAGAGTTTTACCGAAACTCAATAACATACACTGCCTGACATAAAAAATGCAATGTATAGAATGTAATATTAATTGATACGCAGACAAAGCATGCATACGTTAATATATAAATGGTGTTATTTATAGAAAGATAAATTTGTGCAGTGCTGAAATATGCAGGGAATTGTTAAGATGTATGACCACCCGTTGTGGCAATGCAAGCTGCAAACTTGTGAGGTGCAGATTCATTTATCGTTTGGATAGTGTCCTGAGAAATGGAAGCCCATATGCTCTGAACCCTACCTCCAAAGTTTGTCCTCTGATAATAGCTGGGGCAGAGCAGACAAAAAACAAACAATCATGTCCCAGATATGCTCATTGGGGAAAGATTAGAGGCCATTGTAAGTTAGCTGTATTACATCTAGCTACACTAGAAGTAAACTGCAGCATTTTTTTAAGCCCGTATTTTCAAAAAAAACCAGTTCAGAAGATTCATTTCAAAGCATAAAATTTTACTTGAAGATCTAAATGTTTTCAAATCAAACTTGCTATGTACACTTGAAGATAACTAAAGTTTGTAAGCAAAATTATCAAAATGTTAAAAGTGACATGGTCTATAAAATGGTGATTTATAAAATTCTGAATCATCAAATATTTTGTATGAGTTTTCAATCTAATCTATAGAGCTATTACAAAACATCTCGATGAATCCCCTTGGGCTCTATTTTGAGTCCCATTCTGTTCTCTTTATTTCTGGAATTGAAAAATGCATTAACCCTTGCTAGATAGGACTATTTGAAGCTGATGTTGTAATATGGTGCAATAATTCTGATATCAGTGAAAGGTAATCCCAATTGAATAGATCCTTAGTTCAATAAAATGGAATCCCAGTTGAGTAGTTCGGGAGTTCGCAGATTATCAGAAAATTACCTTCAGTACTTCTAAATCTACAAGTTGCTTCTTCTAGCAATAAGCATCTCTGTAACTACTCAGGAGAGTAGTTATAGTGCTTGCATTGTTGTAAATATCCTACTTATCTTAAGCTTCTTTGGATCCTGAAGTGAATTATGTCAAACATATTAAAAAATTAGCTGATAAAGCAAGAAAAAGACTTAGGATTTAAAAATATATTTCAGGCAGAGATTGGAGTTCAGACACCTCCACTCTTAGAATTTGGTCTCTACTTGGTCTGCCCTGTCCTTGAATACTGTTTTTAAATTCTTCATGTAGCATCTCCTACTAACTTGAAAAAAGTGGAGAGAATGCTCCTCAGTGCTGCAAAAATCAGCAGGGAGCCTTAATGATGTAGTTCTTTACAAGGCAGATGCCCAGCTTCTGACTTTGAGATTTGAAGTCAGTTCATACAAGATAGAACTTGTGTTTTTATCTAAAAACTGGACAAGTAATCAATTTTAAAGGGAGACAGTCCACTTAATTATGTGTGGAAACAGTTTTATTGATTTTAACATTGAGATATCCATATCTTTTAGTTGTACTACCTCTATTAAAAATGTTGAATTCCATGAGGAATTGTTATCTGGTGTTGTCAAGCATAGCCCCATCCAGAATTACCGTATTTGACAGCATATAAGACGCACTTTTTTCTCTAAATTTGGTCTCAAAAAAGTAAGACCTGCGTCTTATACGTGAAGGACAGAGGTTAACCTTCAATACTGAATGCTATTTTTAGCCCGGGTAAAAGTCTAGATACTGTAATGTATTTTGCAGTAATTAAAAAAACAAATAATCTTCTTAGTAGAACATAAATTTTATTTTTAGTTTGCGGAGATAGATAATTTGTATACAATTCTTAAGTGGCAAAATTTTCATACATCTACTAGCTGGTCAAACTTCAAAATTCTAATCTTGAAATAATTTCTTACGTTGTTGAGCAATGATTACATAATACAATTATGGTGTTGCCACTTCAACAATAAGTGTAGTTATTTGATAAATAACAAATTATTACAACACACATAATTTTTTCTACATCTGCCATAATTATTTTGCGCATGCGTGAAATATCTGTCTCCAAAAAGCGCTAAAGCTCGAAGCTGATGTCGAAGTTCGAACAGGTTCGACGGTCACATTACGTCTATGGAGCCTTTTCTTTTTTACATAGACTTTGACTCAGCCGACACACGTGTCGGTATCGGTGCTACTCTGTATAAACGTGTTGGTATCGGTGCTTAAAACTATTTGTTTAAAAAAAATACCCTGAAAATATGACTGCAGGAAACAAAAGATTAAGCTATACAATTCAGTATAAACTAGGAGTGTTAAACTATGCCAAAGTGCATGGAAACAGAGCGGCAGCAAGGTATTTTGGTCCACCACCTACCGAAAAAATGATACGTACTTAGCGACTGCAGAAAGATCAACTAAAGACTGCTAAAAAACAAAAATATAACCTTCGATGCCCAGCTCCATCTTGGCCTGAACTTGAAAATGCCGTAAAAATGTGGATGATAGATAAGAGGAAATCTGGGATAAGTATTTCAACCAAAATGATAATCAATGAGGCCAAAAGATTTGCAGAAAAACATGGGAATCAGAACTTTTCAGGGTCTGAGGGCTGGTGCTACAGGTTCATGAAAAGGCAAGGCTTATCAATGGGCAGAAAAACAACTATTACACAGAAAATGCCAGCAGGTTATGAAGAAAAAATACTAGCATTTCATAGGTTTGTTATAAATGCACGCAAGAAAACTTCTTTTGAGCTCAGTCAAATAGAAAATATGAATGAAATTCCACTCATATTTGATGTACCATCCAACAAGACTGTGAGTATTAAAGGGTCTAAATCAATAACCATAAAAACCACAGGTCATGAAAAAACCCGATATACGGTAGTTCTAACATCTTGTGCTGATGGCACAAAACTACCACCATTTTTCATATTCAAAAGAAAAACTCATCCGAAAGAAAACTTCCAACGGGTGTAATTGTTCATGTTCATCCGAAAGGCTGGATGGACGAAGCTGGAATGAAACTGTGGTTACAGAAAGTATGGGCAAGACGACCTGGTGGACTCTTAAGAAAACCTTCTCTTTTGGTTTTGGATCAGTGTAGTGCCCATAGAACTGAAACCATAAAGAATTAAAAACCCAGATAGCTGTCATTTCTGGGGGACTGACTAGCCAATTGCAGCTTTTAGATGTATCGGTGTATAAGCCATTTAAGGAAAAAGTGCAAGAACGATGGAACAAGTGGATAGGAGAGCCACATCACGCCCTCACACCCTCAGGTAGAATGAAGCGGCCCTCTATTTCACGAGTGTGCGAGTAAGTAAAAAGATCTTAGGAGGATGTAAAGGCTGAAGTAATGCTCTTGACGGAACAGAAGACGACGCATTATTCAAAGAAGGTGATACTAGCGATGATGGAAACAGTAGTGATGACAATATTCTTGTTTTCAGACGATGATGATAGTGAAAAGGATTTTTATGGTTTTGAAAGTGATTAAAGTCTAATTTCATGATAGGCAACGTTTTCCTTGAATCTGTGTTTTTTGTTGTTTCTGCTTTATTTTGTATTATGTTTGATTGCTTGTTGTTCATTCATTTATTCATTATTGAAATTTACTTATGTTCAAAATAGTTTGCTGTTTATTAATTTTCCTTAATAAAAATATGTGTGATAATTGCATTCAATTATTGTTTATTTGGCTTTTACGAAATGTGAGAACTAAAAGAAACCACATTTAAGGTATTGTGTACA